CCGAGCCGGCGATGAAAATCCATCAAGAGACTCATTATCGTAGCTAAAGACTTGTATGAAGTGGAACTCGTTAAATCTGTTATAGAGCATCGTGAACCAATTTCAGTAGGATTTTTTATACTACATAATGCCAAATTGAGAATGTTGGATCTGAAACTTTACCATCTGAAACTTTACCTTCATAGCAAGCAAGTAGAATGTACTGGAAAGCGAAGCAAGAACTGTCAAGACAATTTCAGAGCAGATGCGAAAAACAATTTTTTCTCCCGTACTTGCTGTTCTAAAAATAAGAAACATGACAAGAGAGAACCAGGATCGTTCAAGGAGGAGTTCAAATGCACCGACATGTTATGCCTGTGTAGTAAAACCTACTGCTGTTACATTAGTAAAAGTCAAAAGTACAAGTTTAGGAGTAAAGGACTGAACAAACGCGCATTAGAAGACTCTGGAGATGGCCCGATGGCAAAGTATCGACAAGTACTGGATGAGGCAGTGAATTCGAAGTCAACGTATAGAGGATTTAAAACGGTTAATCATACAGTCGCAACTTATGAACAAACTAAAAAAAGGACTGAGCTATTTTGACTCTAAACGGGAAGTTGAATGTGATGCAATACATACTAAACCTCTAAGTTTGTAAGAGATAATGTAGTAAAATTGTATAGGATGCTGTAAAGTAATACATTTGCTCTGTAATAAGCTTTTTTTCCAAAAATTATTTTTAAACGCTACGTTTGAGTTAACAAAAAATTACTTTTAGATTAAGAAAAAGTTTAGAATCTGCAACATCAGCAAAATTGGGCGCCAAATTTTCTTTGAAACTTGCCATCTTACCATCTGAATCTTTACCATCGTAATACAATAGGAATCCTATTACTTACCCTAATGAGTTCTTAATTCCCTACAATGAATTTCTAATACATAGGGAAATCTGTTCAATATACATGGGAAGTTCGGGCGCCAAAAAACTTACCATCTGAAACTTACTATCTGAAACCTGGCATCTTAGTACATTGGGAAACCTATTCCCTATCTTAATACATTGGGAAATCTATAGCCTATGAAAATACATAGCTTGGAGACCGGATGCTCTATTCCTTATCTTAAAACATGGGGGTCGCCATCCATACCGGCTGAATTCGTCCAACATGTACTACTGAATTAGTTCGAAAATTCATCATTCTAATAGTTTGCTTTCGAACTTTCAGTTTCTTTATTTAACATTACCCCACTGAAACAATTTTTTAATGTCGCACAGACCGAATTAGTTAGGAACCAGAGGTCACTGTTGTGAAGAAGTTGTCAGCGTGATAACAAAAAAATGCAATGAGACTAAGACCTCGATGTTTTTTCCAACTAAAGAATCTAAATTTGTTAACATTAACTGATACTTAGAGATTAAAAAACTTTTACATATTGCCTACAGAAAATTCAAATTAGAGAAAAATAAGCGGAAGACAAAGTAGGGTAGGGCCATGCACTGAAGGGTAGATCAGTTAAGGACAAAGCAGCACAGCACGAAACAAAACAGGGTAGTACAAGTCAAAAAAATGTACAGCACGGCAGCAACGGGAAACGGTTGGAGAAACAAAGCAGGGCAGCGCAAAGCAAGGCAGTGTAATGTTAAACGAGGAAGCGAAGCAAGGCAGTCAGGTCAGGGCATCAGAAGAAGGGGCTAGGCAGTGCAGCGGAAGTGAAAAACAACCTTTTTTTCATCAAAGATTCTTATTTTTTTCAACTCTTTCACTATCAATTCTCCTATATAATTTGAAATTCCTGTTAATTTTAACACCGTTTGAGGGTGTTTAGTTCCTTTTACTACTAACAGATGGGTGGATACATATGCTATGGAGGGTTCCCAATACATGCGCAAGGTTTCGCGATCTAGTAAGTGGCTCAGAGATTCGTTTTTTTGATTCGTTGATGTCAATCAAAACTACCAATTAAGTTAGAGCAAATCGAGCAACTTTTTCGTGAAAAAAACGCTGGAAACGTTCAAGCAACTTCTTTTGAAATAAAAAAAAATTTTCTCTCAAAAATTTTTTCAAAACAGAGCCTGCCAGACTTCAAGAAACGGAAAAGGACAATATGGTGTTAACCATTTTTTCTAAAAGGGCCTTAGACTTAGCAAAGATATTAAATTATTACAACCCTTCATTGGTTGAAAGCTTGCTTAGATTTTTTCTGATGTTTTGCAAACTACTTCAAGCTATTTAAACCACTTCAAATGTTTGATGGTCCAATCATTTGATAGGTTGAAAACAGATAGCAGAGAGATATATCATGAACATAATCAAGTTACTATAATTTTTGAACATATGTTATTAAAAATTAGTTGAAAACTAACCTACTTCTGCTCCACTAGGTTTAATTCTGATACATGCTTAGTTTTTAACACCAGATCAGTTCTGCCTAACCTATTCGGTAATAGCCAAATTTTATAGCTCATGTTCCGTAATAGCCTAATTTGAAATGGTGAGATAGATCTTTGCTGACACTTTTACAATTATTACTTTACATTAAAAAAGGCAAAACAAATGTCCGACGCTTTAAAATAGTTGCTTCTTCAATCAATTTGTATATCAGGCCATCAAAAAACGCTGATCAAATATTTTTCCCTGATAAAACCAAATTCATGGCTAATCATTTCAGGCTATCAATGTCAATTGCAAATTGTTAAACCTAAATGTTGTAAAATGATGTGAAATTGTCATTCCTAATTCTTGCTTCAAAAATTTGGAAAAGGTCTACCAACTTAAGCCATTGAAAACAAACGGCTTTATCTATTGGTAGAATAGCCAGTTTAAGCCTTCAACAAACCAAAAAAGTCTGTCACAGCAACATTAATTGGTTCAAAGTTTCATCGCTCTAAAAGTTTGCTTCCAATCATTTCAGCATTTTGCAAATCAAAGAGAGCTTTTAAAACAAATTGAAATGTTTCAAGCTACCCGAACCAATTCTAGCTTGATAACTCATTTGACAAAATTTTGTCAATTTTTGGACTATCAATTTTTTCCAAATCCATTCAGGCCAGCAAACGACTTGCTTCAATAATTTTCAAAATCAATTGCCTAATATTTAGACAAGCAGATCAATTTGAGATTCGATGTTCAATCGCTTGGATAGCTGGCTTAAGAAAATTGTATTAATTTTCGCGAAAGAAATCAAGCAATCAAAACACCTGCAAAATTTTCAGTTTTCCTGGCGTGATAGCTTGCTTCAAAATCCTTAGCTTTTGCTTAATCCATTGCAAGCTATGCAAGCAAATTGGTTTGTTAGAAATTTCTTTGCTTCATTAGCTTTCTCCAAAATTCGCAATTTTTGCAAAATTTTTCAAGCCATCAACTTGAATTGAAATCAAATGGATGATGCACCGCTAATTTTTTCCTAAAGTAAATCAAATATTTCATTTTAAATGGGCTGCTTGTTTGTCAATTTATCTCAGCAATGCTCAAGGCGTGCACGCACCCACTTTTCTAATAACTGATGAGGTTCGACAAATTTTTAACAAATGAATCTGGCTGTTCTGGTTTGCGAAATTATATGGTTTCAAAATCAATATTAATAAACAAATACATTAATGAATACAATTAATTAAAATATCCTCAATTTTGTATTTTTTGCAATTATTGCCTAAAATGAACATCAAAGATATAGAGTTTGGATTATGTATTATTTACAACAGCTTGTCTCGATATGAAAAAATAACTTGATGATTGCAAGCATAAATAGTATCTTAAGTTGGAGATTGGATGATCGCACAAATCATAAACATTTAAATTGATCTAAGTTTTACCGTAACTCCTGCTTCGATCCTTTTCACCAATGCATTGTTTAATAAAAATAACAATTTAAGCTTCAGACAAACGATGTAGATGAATCTTATTGAACCGACCATTTCAGAAAAAGTGAAAGCATATTTTATTGTAGACCTGATGGGCGTAGTGTTTTTTCCACAGTTTTGACTACCTCAAAGAAATTTTTATGGGGTCAATTGTTGCATCATATTAAAACTCATTGAGCCGTGGATTCTCAAACAAAAAAAAATCCAAAAAAATTGTCCAGTGTTGAGAAAAATTGGTGTGCTTTTTTTAAGAGAAATTTGACGAAGTTGATCTCGATGAGTCTGATATTCGTGACACTAAAGTTGAGCCCAATTTAGTTTTACTTCAGTTTTGTTTGTTATTTTGGATCTACTAACATCTCATTTTTGCAGGTTCTTATTCAAATTAATTACCCTTTACTAAAAATTAATCAACAGGAAGGTTAAGAATAGTTATGAACAGTTCAGAACAAAACTTCTAACTTAAAAAAAATATATGCTTGTTTTTCGATTTTTTCATCATTTTTGTATTCGTATGCAAAAAAATTGATGGCTTTGAAATGAAAATAATTGTATTAAAAGTTACATTGGTGAAAATCCTAAAAGTCAAAAGATTTCGTTGGTCAAAAGTGTCCAATATATTCAATAATCTACGCAATTTCCAAACTAGCGAAAAATAACTTTGATTGGTATGAGAGCACATTAATCATATAAAATATCAGATTTTCATAGAATCAATCAGTTAGGAAAAGGACAGTGAGAGGTGTATAAATACCATAACAATTTCCCCATTTCAGGAATATCGAAGGACCCAGGGGCGGATCTAGGATTTTCCCGAGGGGTCTGGGGCGGATTTTCAAAACGATTTTCGAAAATTTTGTAGACTTTTTAAGGTGGATCAAATTGATTTTTTGAGCTCTCCCAAAGCAATTAAAAGACCTTGTTTTGGCCAAATTTTGGGCACCGCAGGGAAAACTAAACTTTCCAAAAACGGCTCTTTTAGGCCGTTTTTGGAAAGTTTAGGTAGTCTTTTCGGTGCGCGCTCCCCCCTCAAATTTAGTATGTATTGGTGCCAAAGGCGCCTTTAGAAAAGTTTTAGGTTCCGTCACCACAAATGGATATCTCAAATTAATACAAATGGGCCGCCCCGCCCCCCTTAAATCCGCTTCCGGAAGGACCTCAAAGTAAACCTAGATGTCGTCACTCAAACGTCATTGATATCAAGGTTAATGCAGCGACAGGTCGATTAATAGGGAGTGAATTAATGAGATTTGAGTGATAGTTCCAGAAGTAGTTCAGATCAAATATATATGGTAAATCACCCGCACAAATTTGCTCGAACCAATGACTAAAGGTCGTTTTTTACCAGCTACAAAGTTTTAACCGAATAAGTAAGATCAATTCCAGTTCAGTTAGAAAAAATTACCAATAATTTATGTGATCAAACACCATTAAGGATCGTTACTGAATTTTTTCATTAAAGACTATTCTGATCACTCGCCACCAACTCTTCTATCTATCGGCGTCCAACACCACATTCCCTCAGTTCTCAGTTAGTAGATACTTAAAGTACTTCTTAAGATGGCATGTTGAAAGTTAAAGCTTTCGCTATCTTTGTTTTGAGATTCTGTTTGATAAAGCGACAAAGTTTTACTGACTGATAGAAGAGAAGCTTTTTTTGATCAAATCGACAATTTCCTTTTACTCTGACTGGCTGAAGAATTTACTTTATATGCCCCTTCTGCAAAGGTTGATATGCCAAACATGTATAAAAGTCCCCATGTTTGACAAAAGCAAACAATCATTTTCATCGAACAGCATCAGCAGAATATAGTTGTCTTCTCTCATTCAAACGTTTGAGCTTCCTCCCATTTCGGAAGTGATCTCGATTTCGGCTTTGGGCGCGCCTGAGGCCGCCCCTAGTTCCCCCTTTGGCATATCCCGTTTCATCTGCAGCTCCTCCGAGTCTTCGTCTAGTTCAGACAGGGGAGCGGTAGTCGGTGACTTGGTTCGGCTCACCACCACAGAGTCCACGCTTTTGGAGGCGGGGTTGGCCTTAGTTAACCTCTGGGTGGAAACTTGGTGCCTAAAAACAGCAAAAACATTATCCAGGTAAGCTAAAACCCTTTGTACACCAGAATAATGATCGACTTACAGGACAGTTCTGGATTGCTAAGCAGACGCACTAGCCAAATCAGACTCTATATCTGGGACCAAGTTAATATCGTCCCCCCAAATTCGTTTAGGGGGGAGGATGTTAACTTGGTTATGAGTTCGATTTTTCAGCCAATCAGAATAGAGCATTTTACACGCAGCGCTTACCAAATTTAATCTAAACTGAACGCTGAGGTGACTTTGGGGGTGGGGGGATGTTAAGTTGATCCTATATCTATTTTGGCTGACCATAGAGTTTTGGGAAACAAAAGAACCCAAGTTCACATAGGATAAACAGGATTTTTGAAATAAATATACAACAAAGTGTGAACTTAATTTTTCATCTTTTTTGTTATGACTTATTTCCGCTGCTTGTTCCTGAAGTTTATGAGACTTATTTGCCGAAAAAAGGATATAAAACTGTGACACTGGGAATGATAAAATTGGCTTTAGTTATAAAAACAACGTCAAATTAAAAAGCTGAGACGAAATTTATGCGACCAACAGAACGAGGGGAACAAGATGTAAATGGTTTTCTTTTGCCAAACGCCGAGTTCATGTGTAATTATATTACTGTATGGTACTATTGTATTTGACGCGTTTAGCAGTCCAATTTATTTCAATTTAATTGGAAAAGTGGAGGATCGGCTATTACGCGGAATCTGCTTCAAAATACCGCGGGCTGTACCAGCATCAATGGAACAAAAAACTTGACTTCATTTTTCATTAATTCGTCAATGGAACAAAAAGCTGTGCTATCCGACCGCATCGACTTATCTGTGACATCCATTTTGATTAAGCTCTTCAACCTGGGTAGTTAAAATGTTACTTCGATCTTCGTTGTTCCAATCTTATCGCATTCAACTTCTTCGTCAGCTCCACTAGGCAGCAACTGTGTCATACCGTAAAGTATGAGCTTTTACAGAATCCGAACATATTGGATATTTATACCTAAGAAACTCTGATTGAGACAAAGGAACTGAACATAAACATGAATTCACACCAACTGAACTGTATCACTCAGCCATATGGTATTTGTTATCAGTCAAGGCCATCAATCTGGTCTGTGACTAGCTATGTATATTTTGTATATAAATAAAAAAACTTAGTAGTGGTTCATGTCAATCAGGCCAGATTACATTCCCCCTCGTGAAACAAAACGGAATTTTACCGTCCCCATGGGACCAATTGTGAGTTTTATAGTCCCTGTTGGACTGGAGTTTTATATTCCATGTGGGACTTGCTTGGTTGCTCCTCCTGAATTTTGTTCTTTGGCAGTGTTCCGACCTCGCAGATTTCCCTGGCCCCTTTGTTATTTTGGTACTTGTTAGTGTGGTTAACACCTCTTCAACGTGGCTGAATATAACCCATTGGTTCTTCTTTCAGCAGAGTGTTTGAGGTTGCTGGTGATCCAAGCAGATTTGTTTTCATCGCCTTATTTTATTCCATACCATTCTCTCTCCTGAATGCATATTCGTAAGCGTCTTGCGGTGATCTGGTTTCTGCCAACACTTCGTCTTTAACGTTTTAATTGGACATGTGAGCCGTGAACATATCACGGATCCATTTGTCTTCTCGATCTGCACAACCGGTCCGTGATGCCCATTCGACTCAATCCGTGTGAAACTGCTCCAGCGTCTATCTTTCTATATAAATATTAAAAATTAGTAGTGGTTCATGCCAAACAGGCCGGATGACATTCCCCCTCGTGAAACAAAAATGATTTTACCGTCCTCATGGGACCAATTGTGAGTTTTATAGTCCCTGTTGGACTGGAGTTTTATATTCCATTTGGGACTTGCTTGGTTGCTCCTCCTCAATTTTGTTCTTTGGCGGTGTCCTGAGGGTGTATTCTTGCCTCCGTGATTGTTGTTGTTGTTATCGTTGCGTCATTCGTCATTGTTATCAGCGACGCTGTTCGGGTTTCGTCCTCGTCATGAATTTTCTCATGCTCCTCTGGGGTGTTCCTCTCCTCTTTCGGTATGTTGTCTTCGGTAATTTTCTTTGGGCTCTCAGTCGGTGTTTTTGTGTCGCTGTTTTTGTTCTTCGGTTTGATTGTTTCGAGGAATTGATCTTTAATGTTTTTATAGTTTTGGCTTAGTCCGAGGCTAGCTGATATGGGGTGTTATTACTGTCTATTCGCATAACCCCAACCTGCGTTATAGCGTTTCAATCAACCATTTTACGACACCTATAGATCTGTGGTCATCTACTGATGCGAAAAAGAGTTGAATGTTCTTGGACTTACAAAAAAAATCGGATTTTTTGGCTCTACACATTCATGCTTGGTCACACCTAAGTTTACGGGATACCCGTTGTTTGAAATACATCTGTGCATAAATTTCATTGCTGTATCCGCCGTTTTTTTTTTCAGACCACCTTTGGTGTAGTTATTTCCGAAAACTTGTCCACCGCTACTAAAATATATGCATCTTTGTTTAATTCGTCCGGAAGGGGCCCGGCAAAATCTAGTTGGACTTTTTCTCAATTGGTTCTACTACTGTTTCCATTTGGATTGACTGTGGTTTTCAAATTGGTGGTTTTAAATTTGTATCTTGCTCCGTGCACTGTCGGAAATTTTGGGCCTTTTGGACAATTGTGCGGTGGATGTGTGGGAACCAGATATTTTCGCACAAGTCGAGCATTGCCCCGCTCCCGGTTGTGTCTGTTGGGTCAGGTGTAAGCTGTCTAGGATGGTTTGACGAAATTGCTGCGGGATGATGATTCGGTCGTCTATCAGGAGACAGTCGTTCAAGATGGGCAGGTTGATTTGTACTTTGTACCAATAGTCACCATATGCGAATGTCAGCGCCATCCAGTCCCGTTTTTGAACGAAATTGACTATCGGTTTGATGTTTCTGTCTCTGCGGGTGATCGCGGCTGTATACTTGACCCGCATGATTTGTTGAAGCTCTTCCAGTAGAGTGGTGTGTCCTCTCCTGCCTTCGTTGCGGTGGCTCTGTCTGCAGTTTCTACGACGACTCTGATGATGATTCTACTTCCAGTTGAGTGCCGCGCATTGTTGGCGGGGCTTCGTTGGGTGAAGTTTTCATTCAATGCCGACGGGTTGAGGGTCGACTCTACTGACGCAGTATTCGTATTGTTCTACTGTGAGCTCTTTTTGCGATTGCATGTCGTTACAGTTTGTAGTTTTGGTCGTTTTTTTCTGTGTTGCTGATTCCGTTTACTTTTACTCAGTTTGAGTCTCTTCTGCTTTCAGTGCACTGCTTGTCCTGTCGGGAGTACCTGTTAGTGATGTTTGAGACATTCAGATTGTTTTTTTGGCCGGGTGTGATGATTTTTTGGAGTTTTTAGTAGATCCCATCGGGTCCTCATCTCGTGTTGGTGTACTGTCCGAAAACAATTTTAAGTGATTTTCTACTTGGAATAAGTTCTCTGACGTTTTGAACTGTTTGTGGTGAGTTTGTTGTTGTTGGTGGTAGGCTTGCTGTCGTGGAGTGGGTGGTCTAGCGTTCGTATGTGTTCGTTTGTGTTCTTCTATGCCAGCGTGGGTCCAACAGGCTTTCTTCCAGGTCGGTTTCTACTTTCCACGTGATTTCAGGGTCTTGTCCTCTGGGGGTTGTTTTCGAGGAGCTGCCTCCCTCTCGATTTTGTGCACTATCGGGGATAAATCTTCTTTGTGGCCATTTGTTTAGTCTTTTCGGCTCATTGTTTGGTGGTTAAATTTTGATGTTGAAGTTTTTTATAGTACTCTGGTATTTTAGCTATTTTGTCTGCTGAAAAGTAAAATCGATCAAATTACTGTTTTTGATATGAATCGGATGACTGTTTGTGCTAGGTTTGGAATGTTTGAAAGCTCTTAACATGTAGGTTGATCTGTAGCATGACTTTTATATTTCGCGCGCTTTTTGGTCAGCCGATTAGGGACTCGATTCTGATTGTCCAGCCTGTTCAATATGACGTTGTCAACCAATTCAAGATTAGGAAAAATTAAGGTATTTGACGCAACAACATTTTCCTCATCGAAATTACAGGGGGTAAGTTTAATCGTAACGGATTTCTTGACATATAGTCAATTAGTCCCATTTTTGGTTCCTCTAAGGGTTTGATATCAAATGTGAATGGGATTAATCTATCGATCCAACTAGTGAGCCTATTTTGGCTAGTCTTTAATTATTCGCTGGCGTTTAATGTGCTGATTAGTGCCTGATGGTCCAACAATTTATGTAGGAGTTTTGCTCTCAAGCAGTCCTTAGCCCAAAAGTAGATGCGTCACAGAATACCCGGGTTTCTAAGTTTTTTTTGAAATTTTTAGTTTCAATTACTTCAGAGACAAGTTTTAGGATATTGTGAAATGCGGATGTATTGTGTGGCTTTTAATCTAATGCTTTATATTTGTCTGACCTTTAATGCGGTGGTTTTATTACAGATGCTGTTTTTGCAAGATTTGGGATGTATCGTGTGAGGTGGTGTATTGACACCGTGAAGCTTTTCAGTTGTTTAAACATTTTTGGGTTGGAGAGTTTTAGCATTGCCTCTGCTTTTAATTTTTGTGGCATTGTGCTTTTGCTATTTTCTTTGTAACCCAGTCACTCCCTTTTTTCGCACGCGAATTTGCTTTTTTCCAGCAAAATAGCTGGATTTTTGTCAGTTAGTTTTTTAACTGTTTATCTATTAATTGTTTGTGTGTATCTTTAGAACTTTTTGCCACAATCAATATGTCATCAAGATAAGCAAAAGTGTTTTCACAGTTTAATAATATATTTTTGATATGGTTTTGGATATCGGCTGGCATATGCGTTAGGACGTAGAATCCCGTTTGGAACTGGTTTGTTGCAATAGCTTTTCCCCTATCAAGCTGAAATTAAATTGGTTTTTTGTTTCGGTATCCAGGAGTATTTGTGCATATGCATAGCATAAATTGACGTTTGTGAGGAGTGTTTTCTGTTTTTCATCCGCCTCATTGATTTTTGCGATATTAACCAATAAAAGTTCACTATTGGGCATTTGATGTATATTTTTGTGTTTGAATTTATTTATGTTCTTGGAGTCTTGTGCAATTTGACTGCTTGAAATTTTTTGACCGTTTTGACTATTGGATTGATGATTTGCTTGTCCATTTTTTGTCTAGCTTTTTGAAATGCTTTTGATTTATTAGTTGTTTTAGTTCCGTTTCCACTCGTTCTTGTAATGAAATGGGTATTTTTTGACCTTTTTGTTGGATCGGTTTGAGTTTGCATCATGTGGTTTTCTGATTTCGCGATTCGCACGCAAAGTTGTTGAAAGTTTTGTTAAACCAGGTTTTTAATTCCTCGTCTGTTTCTTCTTATTTCTCATGTATGTTGAGTAACTGGTTGTGTTTTGGTTTCTCGTTTGATGTCAACTTTCGGTAGGATGTTCCGCCCGATGATATTTGCCTTTTGATCATCCGTAATGATTAATGGTGCCGATTGGACTGTACAACCTCCGAATTCCAACACAATAATTAGGAACTCTTTCAAAACAAAAAATTTCCCGTCATAACAGGTTAACAGGTAAATTTACGGGCGGCGTCCGCCGTTGGGAAGAGTGAATATTGCGGAGCGATCGTTTTGGCGTAGCCTTTCCGCCGTTTTTTCATTGAGAAAATAAATTGGGATTCCTGAATCCGCAATAGCAAACAGATCTTCTGATTTTGTTTTTAGTTTTACTAGATGTCGATTTAAGTTGTCTTTTTGTATGTTTTCTGAGTTTTGGATTTCAAATGCTTCTGATTTCGCCAAAATTGTAAAAATGTCCTCCAGCCATTTGATGACATGAATTCGGCATATACCGCGGGATCGTTGTTGGCCTCAGTGGTGACAGAACTTTTCTTCATTTTTTCTGGATGATGGCTGCCGGTTTCTAGCATGGAGTTAATCTTTTTTGGTCTACATACTTTTGCAAAATGACCTCGTTTAGCGCATTTTGTACAGATTTTGTCTTTTGCTGGGCTTGACTGTGAATGATTTGGTCCAAAAAGTCTGCCGTATTTATAAAAGGGTTTGTTTTGTCCAATTGGTTGGTTTTGTTGCCCACGTGGGTTGTTCCGACCTCGCAGATTTCCCCGGCACCTTTGTTATATTAGTACCCGTTAGTGTGGTTAACATTTCTTCAACGTGGCTGAATATAACCCATTGGTTTTTCTTTCAGCATAGTGTTTGTGGTTGCTGGTGCTCCAAATAGATTTGTTTTCATCGCCTTATTTTGTTCCATACCTTTCTCTCTCCTGAATGCATATTCGTAAGCGTCTTGCGGTGATCTGGTTTCTGCCAACACTTCGTCTGCAACTTTCTCATTGGACGTTTGAGCCGTGAACATATCAGGAACCCATTCGTCTTCTTGATCTGCACAACCGGTCCGTGATGCCCATTCGACTCAATCCGTGTGAAACTGCTCCAGCGTCTCGTTTTTCCGTTGCTTTCCGACAAATTAAATTGTATCTCAAACGCTATAATTCTTGTGGGCTCACGTATATCTTCTAGGTTTCGCATTATTTCTTTTGTATTTGACGTTTGTATATCAAGGCTTGGTCTCGTTTGTCGCAGTTGTCGTTGCCCTTCTGTTCCTAAGCAAAAGAATATGTAGCTTCTCATTTTGGCGTCCGCGTCATCCCTGGGTACATTGTTGCACAATACGCCTTTTTGTCTACTTTTTATCTCGTTATTTTCCCAAGTGACTCGTTTTTCTTGGTTTCTGATGTCTCTAGTACCTTTTTTTGCCTCCGTTTCTACAGTGATTTCAACCTTGTAGGTTGGTTCAGATGGTTCTATCACTGGGGGTTTCGTTCTTAACAAAACTTTCACCTCTATCCCATCTTTGGCAAACACGGCCATTTCCATCATTGCCGCTCTTTTTGACCATTCCAGTGGTGGTTCTACAGACGCCCTCTGCCATAATGGTGGGATACTCAGCGGGTTTCTATATCCTGCTGGCTCTGCCATGTCTACTTTAAGGTATGAGCTTTAATAGAATCCAAACAGATTGGCTATTATATCTAAGTAACACTGATTGAGAAAAAGGAACTGAACCTAAATATGAACTGACACCAACTGAACTGTATCGCTCAGCCATATGGTCTTTGTTATCAGTCAAGGCCATCAACCTTGTCTGTGAGTACATATGTAAAAATTCTATATGAATATAAACACGTAGTAGTGGTTCATGCCAATCCGATCGGATGAAAAATTGATTGGTACAATTGCCGTACACTTAATTCTATTCTTTCAGTTGTCTGAGTAAAGTTTTCTTTTAATTGTATTTCCTACGAAATACCAGAAATTAAGACATACCAGGGAGGGAGTAAAGAGCTTAGCAAGTCTCGCATAGATACCTTCAGATGTTCCCACCTTTCAGAAGCAAAGCATGGAACTTTCTAACGCAATCCAACAAAAAGGAAAATTGGATAAAATAACAGCAAGCAATCAAAAGCAAAACGAACAAGTAAAACGAAAAAGCAAATTGTTGTCAGCTAGAGAGTTTTTTATTGCGATTACAAGCCTTGAAGAAGACCTAGGACCATTTTTTTAAATTTTGAAAGCGATCAGGGTACAAGATGCGCCTTTCATTACGCAAACAGCTGTTGCGCCCCAGACTAAGAAATACGATTCTTTCTGTTATTTTTGAGGGTTGAGAAATGATGATTCGCCGTTACTAAGTTTTATAGAGATGCATTATTTTTGAGGATTTTTTCATCTTATGGATCTGATTTTCAAATTGAATCAAAAACGTTTATAAATATTGATAGTCGAAGGAAACTTTTAAATTTGAGTCTGATTTACCGCAGACAACCAGTATTTTCAATACACTCACAGGTATCCTTATTACACTCAATTGGAAGTGACTACACTGATGATTGTTGGCCTCGATCCACCGAGTGATTGACACGGATCGATGTGCTTGACTTATGTATCGACTTTGAAAGTCAGGCAAGTGCAAAGTTGCTACTGAAATTCCGCGGTAGAGAAACAGTCAAGCACAAAATCAAAACATACCCAAATTTGGTCGAGAAGTAGAAACAAACCCAAATTTGGCCAATAAAGTCAAAACATAGATCGAGAATGTCGAATCATGTCAAGCACAGTCGAAAAAAGTCTAAAAAATCTGATTTTGGTCGAGAAAATTGAAACATAGGTCGAGCACAGTCGAAAAATAGGTTAAGCAGAACATTTTTCCTCGAAGATTTTTGCAAGATGTTTTTAAATTGAGATTGAAAAATGAGCAATAAAAAATCTGTTGAAAAAAGGCCATTGTCAGAAAATTGCAACCGGCAACAATTAATTGAGGAGGTTTGTGTACCGCAAAACTAGAAGTTTCAGAGGCAACCATTTAAATTGTCAAAAACTAAGGATTCCTGCGACAAGAAAAAATAATTCTACCAAAAATTACTCAATTGTACTCAAGAATTTTACTCAAGAATTATTAACAAAAAAGAGAAAAAAATTATAAAGGCGCAACATAAACCGTCTCACTATCATAAACCGTCTCACTAAGTATTTGATTGATATTGAACTTTAAAATGCCAAATCAAAAAATTTAGGTTTCAGAACCAAAACTTGAAATAAAAACTTATAACAGATGTGTAGTCACTGAGCGACTAAAAACGCCTTTTAAATAGTCTTTCAGAGCAACTACATTCGACAATAAAGCGAGAAAATGTTTTTGTTTGTCGAGAAATCGAGACTGTAGAAACATACCTATATTGTTCGCGAAAGTGGAAACATATCTATGCGGGTTCGAACAAACAAACAAACTTTTTAGAAATGTGTGCCGAGATAGTCGAAAAATCAAAACAAATCGAAACTGGGTCGAACAAAGTCGAAAACTTTTTTATTGGGTTGAGAAAGTCGAAACATACCAAAATTTGCTCGAGAAAGTCGCAACATAACGAAGTCAGGTCGAGTAAATCAAATCATGTCAAAATTTGGTCAAAACTGTCAAAACTTACCATTTTTTGTCGAGAAAGTCAAAATATAAAGCGAGTAGAGTTATAGCAAAATGTAATCTAAACGGAAGTGCCATTTTTTGTTTATAACATGTAGCTGAACATGTAGCTGATGCTGACAAATATGATTAGTTATCATGCATACCTGATGGTGTTTGTGTTGGGTAATTGAGGGGTGAGTTCTTTGGTTGGTCTCTTGAGGAGGGCAAAGTACCAGTAGCAGAGGGGGTCACTAACACAGTGCGAGTACTGCATCACCTGGATCAACTCGAACACCCAGCGTGGCTGAAACAACAACGAAAACAAAACTATTACACCAAACACAACAGGAGTTTCTCGAGGAACAGAGAGCTGGTTTTTTAAAACTTGTCGGAAAGCGTGTCGACTGTTTTTGTTTAAAGTCGACCAAAAGGACTTTACAAGGTCTCCCAGTTTCATCAATTAATGATTTCTGTAAGAACTTTGTTCACAGCTGAAACTTTGAAGATAGACGTTATCTGTTAAAGATTCTATCAGAACTTCCTATAAACCTCAATAAAAATCTCTCAATTCAAAGACTATTTTAAAAATAAATTAAAAAGTTGCGAAAAACGAAAATTTTTCTGATAATTCAAACACTTTCGGCAAAGATCTTCAAGTTTCATAAATAATTTTGGCTCTTTTCCTTTTTCCACCAGTATTTCAAAGGATCTAATTTCAGAGAACATTAATATTTAAAAAATAAATGTAATAAAAAAGTGGAAAAAAAATCTAAAATTTGAACTTTTTTATTGAAAATTATTACCCCACACGCTATATTTAGTACAAAAGAATCAGTTTCGCTCCTTGAAGCAAATCAATTCCGGCAAATAAGCTTCCTTTAACTAATTTGGAACGATTTCTAAGACAAAATAAAACTGCACTTACGCTTTTATAGCGCGAAATTTATCGCGCGTTAATTGTCCCAAGTTAGCCAAAACTCTAATTTTTAAACCCCCATAACTTTGCGAAAATGATCACAAGTGAAATATCTTTTCAAGACAACAATAACTTTCGAATGATGTAAAAGTTCCGTGAAAAATGGATCTTTAAACAGTCGAAATATGTCTGAAGAAAAATAACCCACATCGAGCACAAATATTCCGTTACTTTAAAATCGAAAAACGGAACAATATTGTAATGAACACAAAATTCTTCATAGTCATGACCAACTATTACAACCAAGATTTTAATCATAATTCTAACAAGACTGCTCGTATCAAGGCGAGGCCCTGAATGTTCCGACTGCCTTTTAAGGTCTATGATGCAGTAATAACATGAAAAACTATATGTAAAATAAAAAAAATA